GTGAAGGATGAAAATACGGCCTTGGCCAAAACCAAGATCGCTAGCCTCCTGCTGGAGCGCGGGGTCCCGCTGGATGAAACCCACGCCACGGTTGACAAAGTTGTGCCTGCCTTGGGCACAGCAGCCTGTCTGCATGCACTACGCCAGGCCGGTACACAAGCCCAATGGCAGCAGCTGACTGTTGCCGCCAACGCCAAGGGTCACCAGTTGCCCGCAGGTGACAATAGAACTGAGAAAGCTGCCCAACGCATCCAGAAGGCTGTAAGGCGACAAAAACTGGACCAGGCCCGCCCGGTGCGAGCAGCAGACTTCAGTTTGGTCCCGGATGTATGGTGTGGCATTGATGACCAGCCTGTTGCGGTTCTTGATGAGTTAGCAGCTGACAGTACGGGCGCCGTCCTTATGGACGCCGCTGAAGCCAATCCGCAAGATCTTGGCCTGCTGCGGAATATGGGCTCGGAGGCTTTGTGCATTGTGGTGCCAGGCCACTGCTGCCCGGATCCCGACTCCTGTTCGGGTCGGACGAGCGTTCCCGTCTGCAACCGCCAAACAGGCCAGAGGCACTTGCTAGCTGCATGCTACCATAATGTTGGTGAGACTGACATAGTTCCGAGGTTCCAGCACGGCACCAAGGTTGACGCAGAGGAAACTGTCTGCTGCTCTTTCTCCATGTACCAGGATGACTTTCAGTCAGACACACAATGGCATGATTTTGCGGCGGCGCCAGTCCGCTCAGTGATCGAGGCCTTCCGTGCACGGGGCGTCGAGGATGCCCTCCATCACCCCTGGGCGCGAGCTTTTAGGCAAGGTGGAAAGGTGAGCCAGGCGCACCATTGTGACCAGTTTGTCTTCTACGCCAAGGTCCCGCAGCGACAGCTCAAACCTTTGTTGCAACAAAGTGGCTTCAATCGGGTTTACGTTGTTCCCCGCTCCTGGGACCGCCAGTTGCTAGCTGGATGGGCTGTTGTTTGGCTCGCCGGCTCTAGGGCGGAAGTCGAGAAGCAAGCCCTCATCGTGTCCGAGCAGCACGGCCTGGTCAGAGGCAAAAACAAGTTTGGCCTCAGGGTGCCGGCCAATGCATTCCGCAAAATCTTTACACAGCTGCGGCCGGGTGCAGCGGTGCCCGAAAATCTTGAGGTCACTGAAACTTGGAAGGTAGGCCCTTTCCCAGCGGCAGCATCAGCAGAGGCCATTCGTGAGTGGTCCAAACGGGTTGATTGGCCGACTAAGGTCATCAAAAGCCTGGGGCCCCAGTTCTGGTTGCTAGGGTCTGCAGCGGCGCCACCCGACACAACGATGCTTTTCAACCACACGCCGGTGCTCGCAACAGCCGTCCGTGCCAGAGACACAAGACCGCCTATCGTGCAAGCTGGCGGCCCGCTGCCAAAAGTCACTTCTGCCCCGGTGGACTCTAAAGGTGAAGACCCCTGGCTCCAAGGTGACCCGTGGAGTAGCTACCGTGCTTCTCAGGGCAGTGCTGCTCCCCGACCAACGCCTCCCCCCGCACGGGCTGTGCCACTTGACAGCGCAGCCACTGCCCGACTGGTGCAGCAAGATTCCCGCATCTCCGAGCTCGAGCGGAGTCTGCAGCAAATGCGTGAGGAGCAGGCCACAGCCAACCATGAACGTGCCAAGGACAAAGCCGCCCTGCAGCATGACATCCAGACGGTTCACAATGAGGTCCAGGGCCTCGGTGCAGGTCTGCGGCAGGATTTCCAAGCATGGACTGCGAGTTTGAACAGCGCCAAGGCGCAGCAGGATCAGCAGATTGCCAATGGCATGGCTGAGCTCAAGGCCTTGATACTGGCCGGCACTGAAAACAAGAAGCAGCGTGTCGACAACGACCTGTGACTCTTGCTACAGGTGTCTGTGAAACGGTGTGATGATGCCACTGCTGCGCCAGTGGCCGGGGTTCAACCACCACTCTGGGTGGTACAATGGCTTTTTCCTTCGGGACTGGGGTTTTCGCGATCAGCACAGCGGCTGTATCGAGGGACCAGCATACGCCTTGTCCCAACTGTTGTCTCCTTCAGGAGCCCAGCTCTTGATTGCTCCAAGTGTTCGGTCCAGGGGTTTTTCGGACCTTGTCTTTTATGTTCCCACGCCTGCCTTTCTCAGCGGAATATCGCTTTGAGTTGTCCAAGGGAGATACCCCCAGCGCTTTGGCGCCCGTTGCGTTATAGTGGTGTGCGTGTGGGTGAGGCAATCAACCCTGGCCCGAGCCACCAACCTACTCTGCACACTTTCTTTGGCCCTGCACCTGCGGCCCCAGCGGCCCCGACTGACAGCGATACCTGTGTTTTTGCAGTGGTCAATCCAACCAGCATTTTGCACAAGGTACCCGCCGCCATGGAGTTGCAGGCTGACGTGTTGACCTTTTCTGAAACATCTGCAGTGACACGTGCCCAGCAGGTCACCACCGTTGCTTTCCGGAGACAGGGCTTCAAAACACATTGGGGTGCGCCTGTGCCCTCGCATTCGCGTGCAGAGTGTACACTCCCCACCATGCGTGGCCTTGCAGCAGGTGTGGCCCTAGCGGCCAAACTTCCCTCCCGCTCGTCAAATCCTCCGCTGCCGACAGAAGTGAGCGCCACGTGCCGCTTGATGGAGTCCTTTGTTAGGCTCGGGGCGCTGGAGGTGCGTGTTTTGGTTATATACGGGGTCCCGCTCTCTGAGCCCGATGCAAGGGAGCGCACGAATGGCCTCCTCCAGCATGCCTTCCACCGTGCAGCGCAAAACCAGGTGCCGTGTATCGTGGCAGGTGATTTTAATCTCCGGCCATTTGATTGCCCGGCAGGTCAGGCTTTTCAGGGCCAAGGGTACCGGGACATTTTCGACCTCCACCACAACCGTACGGGCCAGGAGCTCCCGCCGACGTGCAGAGGCAGCACCCGCCATGACTCGGCTCTCTTGCATCCTGCCTTGGTTCAGTTCTGGAGGGAGGCTTGGGTTGTTGACCGCCAACTCTTTGATTCCCACAATCCACTGTGTTTTCGGCTGCAGCTGTGCCAACATCGCCCGTGTACTAGGGTGTGGCGCCTGCCTTGCTCTTGGGCTCCACTCGCAGTGAAACCGCAGGCCTTCTCGGATGCCTTCGCCGCCCATGCCCCAGGTTTGCTTCGGGAGGCTCACAGGTGCAGCTCCCTTGAGGAGGTGGGAGTAGCTTTGCAGGCGTTTTCTCAGGCAGCTGAGGCCTCGGTTGGCGCTGCCCTTGCCAAACAGCATGCGCTTGATCCCGTGCAACAACCCCTCGCCCATCTTCCCCGCAAGTACCGTGGCCGTTGCTGCCCTAGGGAGTTAGTTAAAAAGGAGGCCGCTGTCATGTGCCGCCCCGACCGGGAGGGTGGCTATACACCGGATGTGGAGGTCACTTCTGTGCTGGCCCGGCTAAAAGTGCGACAGGTGCGACGGCTCATAACTTTTCAGCGCGGCCTTGCAAAAGCCAAGCAGATCGGGCTTCCACCCTCGCCAAGTTGCACCTCTCAGCTCCGAGCTGAGTGGCGGGCAATTGTCAAAGCCCACGGCTATGGTCCTGCCTTCCCTAGTTGGGTCCTGGATGTTGCGTGCTTCCATGAATTTCACCTTGACCTCCCGCCGGCCGATTGGCTTAGTGACCTTGTTGCCTATGTCCGCTATGACTGTGACTGCACTGCAAGACAGGAGGCCCGCAGGCGCAAGGATGACTTTCTGAGTCAGGTCAGCATTGATGCAGAGGTTGGAGGCAATCGACAAGGTTTTCGGGCCATGAGTGCAGCGCCCAACCCTCCGTTCACGGAAGTGCCAAGTTCAGCGAGTGCTGAGGTGCAGCAGGTCTCTACCGGAGGCTCACATGATGATGTAGCGTACGCACTCAGCTCGGCCGCCCTCTTTGTGTGCGGCCTCCCGGCAAAGCTACAAGGTCAGGAGTGCATCGTTCAACAAGCCACTGCGGATGCAGTTGTCCTTCGCGGACAGTGCCTACCGCCTGCCGGTCTTCTTGAGCAAAGCTACATAGCCTGTACGGCGCCCGAGCTGCATGCCGCCTTCGAAGGCTTCTGGTGCCCGTTGTGGCAAAGAGACAAGGGGCAGCGTAGTGCAGACATTTCGTCCTGGCCCCAGCTGCAGGCTTTCCTTGCCCGCTCGGCGCTCTCCTTCCCTGAGGTTCACTTGCAGTGCTCACCGGAGCAGTGGCGTGAAGCGATACGTCGCATGCCTGCCCGAAAGGCTACTGGCGTTTGCGGCTGGTCCCCGACTGACTTAAAGCTGCTGCCTGACCAAGCGCTTGAGATACTGAGTGCTATCTTTCAAGCCGCTGTGCTGTATGGCCTACCGGAGTACATGTTGCAAGCCCGGGTGTGTGTGCTGGCAAAGGTTCACTGCCCTTCGCACATAAAGCAGAGCCGTCCCATCACTGTCTTTAGCACTCTCTATAGAGTCTGGGCCTCTGTCGTCACACGTGAGATACTGCAAGCCTGGAGTCAAACCTTCCCGCCCGCTGTCATGGGTTCCATGCCGGGCAAGGCCTGCCGTGACCTGAGTTACCGGCAGCAGCACTGGATTGAGCGCGCCCTGCTCACTGGCACCCCTCGCCACGGCTTTTCCCTTGATATCATCAAGTGCTTCAACCAGCTCGGCTGGCCTGCCATTGAAGGCCTGCTGGTCCGCCTGGGCGTGCCTGGCCCGGTCGTTCACTTTTGGATCGACTGCCTCCGTAAGCTTCGACGCCATACGAGTTTCCTGGGTGACCTCTCCAAGGGTACTAAGTGCTTCAATGGTGCCCCTGAGGGTGATCCGTTGAGTGTGGCCGCCTTAGCAGGAGTGTGTTGCTTCGCCGAAGAAGCCTGCCGCACCGCAGGCGTCGACTATGATACGTATGTTGACAACTGGAGTTGGTCCGGCCCGAGCACGACGGGGTTGGAAGACGCTCTTCCTAAAGCTTTGGGTTTCCTTGAGGCTTTGTCCTTGCCTGTTGACTGGACTAAGTCCTACACTTGGTCCACCAATGCAGCTGGTCGTGCATGGTGGAAGAAGGCTCATAACCGGGTTTTCCCCCAAGGCGCCGAGGTCCACAATGTTTCTGAGGTGCGTGACTTGGGAGTTGCTTTCAAGTTTGACGGCCGCATTCATGCAGTGTCCCGCAACGCCCGCATACAGGATGGCATCGACAGACTCGAGCGCCTGCGCAACCAGCCGCGCAGTCCTTCTCTCAAAGCCTCGATGATACAACGGGGAGTGTGGACGGCCACATTGTACGGCGCCGAGGGTCATGCCTTTTCGTTGGCAGATTTCCGGAAGCTGCGGGGGAGTGCCGCGCGTACCATTGTTGGCCAATACAAAGTGATGTCCCCTTTCCTCGCCCTGGCCTCCATCTCATCGTCCTGCCAAGATCCGCAATTGTATTGTTTGGAGCAGCAGCTTCAGGTCTTGCGTAGAGTCAGCCAGCAGGATGCTGACTTGGCCCTTTCAGTTCTGGAGCTTGCGGCCCTGGACCCCCCGCACCGCGTGTGTCATGGGCCGGCTACAGCGTTGCGTATTTCACTTGACCGATTGGGCCTGTCTTTAAGTTCCTCTGGTTTGCTTAAGGGGCTGGATAATACTTGGGTTGATGTGACTGCCTGCCACAGAAAGGAGCTCCATAGCCTTTTGCAAAGGTCCTGGTCGCGGCATGTGCAGGAGCAGGTATCCCACAGGAATGGCCTCCACAACGCGCCAGAAGTGCATACTGCTGAAACCGGGCGCCTCCTCCAGTCGTTTTCTGCCAAAGACCAGATGATTCTGACCAGGCATATAACTGGTGCTTTCTCTTCAGCTGCCAGCAAGAACCAGTGGGAGCCAGAGATACCGGCAGAGTGCCCACTTTGCGGGATAAAGCAGACCAAGGCGCACAAGTTCCTACACTGCCCCAAACTCCAACATGTGCGGGCACCCTGCGCAGAGCTACTGGAAAAGGTCAGTGAGGACTGGCCCCACTGGATCCATGCCCCCTACGCAGCCATGCCGGGTGGACTTGAGGTTAACCGCCTCATATTCGCCACACGTGACCTGCTGTTGCCGCAGACGACAGGGATTGATCAAAAGGCCATTGGTCCTCGCCCGTTCCTGCGTTTCTTTACCGACGGGTCCTGCAGGTACCCCACTTTCCCGGATGCCAGCTTTGCAGGCTTCGCTGTCCTGCTCGACACCAGCCCTAGTGATGATTGCATACCGGCGCTTCTGGCCAAGTGGCGTTCCTCGGGGACTCCCCCGCGCGAGTTCCGGATTCTCCATCAGGGACTGGTGCCAGGCGTGCAGTCCATCAACAGAGCAGAGCTCTGCGCCATCATCCAAGCCTTGCGGCTGGCTGTGCAGATGCAAGCAACGGAGTGTGAAATCTGGTCCGACAGTGCCTTCGCAATACGTGAGGTTGCGCGAACCCGAAATGGGCTGCCCTCCACCTGGCCGGACTTGGGAGCCATTCTTGGGCGACTGCCGTTGCATTTGGCCCGACTGCGTAAGGTCGCTTCGCACCAGAACCTTGCTGCCCTTTCCGGCATGGAGCAGTGGGTTGCAGCTGGGAATGAAGCTGCTGATGTTGCTGCAAAGGCAGCAGTCTCCCGTGAACTGTCCTGCGTACAGGAAACTGCAGAGACGGCCCAGTGTTACTTGGCTGAGCAGCGCGTCCAGTTGCAGGCTTTCTGGCGTTACTTGTTGCAAGTGTCTGCTGAGGAGATGCGATTGTTGCGAGAGCAGGGTTCTGGGTCTGGGGCAGCGATTGCGGTTTTGACGCAGACTGCCGCTGTTGACGCTTGGTTGGCTCTGAACTCTGGCCCTTTTCAGACCTGGGAGCTTCCCCCGATCCAACGGGCCTGGGTGCTGGCATGCAGCTGGCCTCCACGGTTTGTGGTGGCGGTGTGGGCATGGTTGCAAACTCTTCAGTGGACCTACTTGCCGAATAAGTCCCGGGCGCCGAGTGGAGTCTCGTATGTGGAGTTGCTGGTTGACTTTGTCCTCAAGTCTGGAATGTGCCCGCCTGCTGGTCTCAACGACTCTATGGATGCAGCAGAGGAGTTTGCTTCTTTACCTGAGGTGCCAAGTACACTGCGCCAGTTGAACCACAGCCTCGTAGAGGTTGTGCGACAACTGGAGCGGTTGTCCGGAGTAACAGTCTGGCCAGCTCGACGAGGCAAGGTGTTTTCACTGCGTGTGCTGGGCTGCAAGGCACCTCGCATCGGCCTTTGTCTTCGTCCGCTTTTCGACTTTCCGACAGATGTGGTGCAGATGCTGCAAGCAGTGTTGAAGGAAGCTAGTGTAGAGCCCTTGCGGGCCTTTTGTCGAGGTAAAGGGAATACTCCTTCCTCTGATGATGTCGCTCTTCACAGGGCGTGGAGTAGTGTTAATGATTCTGAGCGTGCTAAATTGGCACGTAGCCTGCGTAGGAGCAGGTGAATCAGCTCGTTCCGAGACAAGGACATGGAGGCGCGGCGTCGCATCTGCTGGCCCGTGTCCTCCCTCATACCCGGTGAAAGGTTTGGGGTTTGGGGTTTGGGGTTTAGGGTTTGGGGTTTAGGGTTTAGGGAGCAGGGTTTAGGGTCTAGGGCTTAGGGCTGAGGGTGTAGGGTTTAGGAGATCTCCACAACGGCTCTTTGATGGGGTTTCTAGAGGGCTCCTGTAACATCTATCTGCGGACTTAGTATACAAGCCTTGATAATTGGAATGAGGTTTGGGGCTATGTGTATTTGATATATACGTATATACTCTCTGAGAATGAATATACACACACACACACATATATATATATATATAGTAGAGACATAGCGAGACACACACAGAGAGGGAGAGAGGGAGAGAGTACGTAAATCTAGAGACTATGGGGGAATATGATTGCACACTCTTCCGACACGTGCATTATAGAGGTTATCGTCTGCCTCGAGCTACCATCGCCTTTTGGTTTGCTCCTTAGTTGCTTTATTTCTCAATTTCCGAGTGTTGGAGCAAACATCCACAATAAAGGAGGCTGTGCTAGTCGAAGGTTAGATTGCGGGACGAAGCGCTGTGTGGTGCTCTGTTCCTGCCAGGGCTCAGAAGTCGGGGCTGTGACCGTCTTCTTGGATGACTTTTTGGGCTCGGCTATGGCTATGGTTTAGACCGCTTTCAGTGGAGGACTGTTGGAGGGAACGGTCTTGGTCTTGGTCGTTTCAGCATGAGTGCAATCAAAAGCATGGGTTGTCGAAGAGATTCTGCCCTCGCAGCCGTATGCCAATCAATGGGGGGCACCGCCCTTCCTTCTCCTGCTTTGGTGACTCTGTCACTGCATTCCCCAGCATCTGCACCAAACCTTCATGATATCAAACCTTCATACGAGTCAGTGTGAACATCAAGATGGCTACTTAGTACTGTAATGTTGGTACCCGTGCGAGTACGGACGCGCTGGACTCCCCAACGCACAGAGGATCTTGATTATCATGTTGAACTACATGAAAGACCCACAGACTCCAATATCCCTTAATTCAAGAATATACCTTAAATTATAGTAGAATCCCTAATATGATTTAAGGCATATTCCTTACTTAAGGGATATTGGAGTCCTTGGGGATTGTGAGAAGAAGAGCAGTTTCAACTCCAGGGCCCCAAGTCTCCGGGTTCCGGGCGCCAGCGTCGGAGACCCCAGATTGGATTAACTGCGCGGCCTGCAGGGGCCAGGAAAGAAAGGCCGGCTCTTAGCACCTTAATTAAAGCCCGGATCCGCGACGTAACACCGAGCATGTAGAAAACCCTAAGCCCCAAAACCCAAAGCCCCTAAACCCTAAACCTCTAAGCCCTTAAGCCCTAAACCCCTAAGCCCCTAAACCCGAAGCCCCTAAACCCTAAGCCCTAAACCCCTAAGCCCTGAACCCTTAAAAGACTTGAGGAGTGCCTCCTCGGGCATATGCACTGCGGCCCGGATCCAGTCATCTGAGTTTGGCGCCTGGGAGGCTGGCACTGCTTCGGTGTCCAAAAGGGGGCCTTCATGTTTAGAATAGGGCTTCTATGGGTTTACATAGGGTTTAGGGCTATAATTTATAGGGGCCTAAAAAATTACCACTACTAGTTTGGGGACTCCTTATTATAATCATACTAGAATGGGGCCCCAAAACCCTATTCTAATTCTTAAGGCCCCTACATTAAGCTTTCCTCTGGAGGGCTCTACAAGGGCTCTACAGGTTTTAATATGCAGGCCTGAAGCATTGGAACGGTCTAAGCAGCACCTGGTTTAGAGTTTGGAGTTTCAGGGCTTGCGGGTGATTACAGGCAAAACGCATTGCAATTTTGCAGTTCAAGTAATCACAGCGCCTACACAGAAACTGATTGAAGCATCGTATCTTCTCGAGATGTGGGCCGTGTTTAGAGAGGTTCAACCGTTGAGACCTCATGCCAAGGACAAAAATACTCACACTTCCTCCTCGTGGCAGTAGACCAGATGCCTTTACACAGAGCACAGCACAGAAGAGAGCTGATCTCGTAAATAGTTAAAAGTCTCTGAAGTTCCTAAACCCCGGGGGTCCACGTGATCATATTTTGTACACTGTGGTCTTAAAGTAGTCGCTATTTAGGTAACTTTCGGGCCCAAGCATATACTAGAAAGGTACATGCACCCTGAAGGAAAGACAGTTCAGGTCTCCTCCGGCCTGCTCACCAGCCGCACCCTCGTCCTGTGTTTCAGGCGCGGCAAGAGCTCAAATCGAGCTCACGGGGCTGCGCGAGGCTTCCTTTTAGTTGCATCAAGGGGGGTCCCTCTGCAAGCGTGCTATTTCCCGAAGCATGTTATGAGGCATGCTGTGGCTATAACCCTAAACCCTATAGCCTATAAACCCTAAACCCTTCACCGTGTACTACTATACAGGATTAACAGGATCTATATCCTTGGGCCTCCGATGTTTCCCGATGCTTTGGAGATCCGGCTCCGGGTTGCAGGGTTTCGGATCACAATTCCCAGGAACCGTATGGTGACCCATAGGCCCCATAGTAGTTCCTTTTTGGGATTACCTAATAGGATCCTAAATATAAGCCACCAAAAAGGAACTACTATGGGGCCTACGGGTATAGTGTAGAAGCCAGCCGCAGCCAGCCACGACATCATCCCCTGATGCAAAAACCCGTCGAGTTGCCTCTACGGCCTAACATGACCCACCGACGCCCAGAACCGCAGAAACAGAAATCTCATGCCCTGGACAGGAGGGAGATCATGGCTCCAATGTCCTAAAGGCTTGAACTGAAGTCCCCCAACTCGCACTGGGAACGAAATCCGAAGCCCAACTCACCCGAAGCGTTTTGCACTCACTAGTGTAACAGTTTCCTGCAGCTCTGTCAGCCAACATCCCGCTGGGGGGTTTGATATAGGTGCCTTAATGATTGCCTACACTCTTTTGGGGACTCCTAATTCTGGTAATAGTATAATATACCCCAAAGCCCTATTCTGAATGTTGCCGGCTTGTCTTGCACTGACCGGGGCCTAACCATCAGATTCCTCAGGCCTGAATCTAAATCCCCTGAGCAGCCTAATGTAGGGGCCTCAATAATCAGAATAGGGTTTGGGGGAGATGATGCTATAACTACTGTTGATGATATAAATCCTGCATTACCTTAAGGACCCTAAACTATGGGAATGATGGTATATTCCTTATTATGAGTAATGCAGGATTCATATCATCCACCGTATAATTAGGAGTCCCCAAAACAGTATAGGTAATTATTGAGGGCCCTATACCAAACCCAAATTTGGGCTACGCGCACCTCCAAGGACATGGCCAGCCCGGCAGTAGCCAGCTTCGCCACCTCATTCCACCTGCAAAGCCAAACACTGAAACACTAAACTCTAAAAACAACACTTCCCTAAAAAACAAAAACTCGTAAACAGGAGCTTCACCCATCCTGAACTTGGACAGACGGTGCACTTGTACACTGCAGGATCCCACGAATGAGGAAACTCGATGCCCTCCGGTCTTCGAGACTTGACCAATCCGGGTGAGGATGTTGCAGTTGCCCCCCAGGCACACGCACAGCTCACGATCAAAGCTTTGCTTCTACTGCTGCTGTACTAGCCCCAAGAAGCCGTAAACCCTGACTCAACAAAAATTGATCCTAAACCCTTAACCCTAAATCAACAACCCTACAAACTAAATCCTAAATCAACACTCCTACTTCCCAAATCCTAAACCCTCAAAGGGTTCGCCCTTGCAGCCCTTAGCCCTCGGCAGCCGAGTTCTTCCAGGGACCCGGGCCGGGAGAGCAGTTGCTGCACGGAGTTCGCAAGCTCCTCGGCAAGCAGGGTTAGAGAAGAAACCATATATATGATGATTACTGAAATACATAAGACAGTAAAACATATAGAATCCACCGCGCTATGTTAAGAAAACGTACAAATACTACATTATGTACGCAATGCTAATCTGAAATACATAAGACAGTAAAACATATAGAATCCACCGCGCTATGTTAAGAAAACGTACAAATACTACATTATGTACGCAATGCTAATCTTGCAGCTACCATGAACAGTATAGAATACATGCAATACAGAGGCGTGGATGTAAGGGCCAAGTCCTCTGTTTCGAGCTTTCAAGACAGCCTTCGGAGATTACTACGACCACAGCTGCGCTACTCGCCTAGTACAGCGGAGCTCCATCTCTTGACAACGCTGTGAGAAAGCTGTGGTCTACTGAGGAGGCCCACCATGTTCTGCTCAAGACTTTCATAACCATGGACAAACTATTACGCACTGCTACTGGGTAGTAACACGCGCATCCCTAAAGACCAACACCCTAAGCCCGAAATCTCACCAAAGTGGAGACCTGAACGCCAGTGAGAGGCCTCCATATTGGCTGCAGAAGGTTCCGGCGAGGTCGGCGCTGCGCTGAAAGCCCAACTGCCAGGGAAGTGTGCAGCATAAACACCGTTGACACCGAAAAACGTTCTGGGCGGAACGGATATGTCATTGATTTTGCCTAAGAGTACGTGTGCCTAGTTCAAGATGACGAGGGATTGGCGTCTTGCGTGATGGATGCAACACTGCTTTCGGATTTTGTGATCTGGTGAGTCTGGTCTTTGTTGTTTGAGGTTGAACATGGAAGGCGTTCACACTTGCATGTCAGGCGCGGCCACCTGCTCGGGATTTCCGCAAACTCAACAAACCCACCCAAACTTACAGTTGCAGGGCTTGGTGGGGCAGAAGGTTGGACCATTGAAGGCCGCTGGATACTCCAGAATTTTCAGACATGGGAGCCCATGCTCGCAAGATTCAATGCAGGCCAAGCTCGCTTTTCGTCTTCCTCCTCCTCGTCGTCCTTGGCACCTACCAAAGCGCAGGTAAGCAAACAGCACAAACCACGGATCCCTCCATGGCTTCATCCCAAGCTTGCTTTGCCATCAACAGGTGCCTGGAGCGCTGGGCTGGGACACCGTGGGTGGACTCCCCGCCTCAAAACAACTGCAGCATCCAT